TCCATTCAACTTACTAAGATCATTCACCAAATGAGCCAAGCCATCCCCGCACTATACGACGACGAGTTGATCGCCATGCACAAGAGTGGCGAACTCGCTCTGGTGGCCACAATACGTCGGCGACATCAAGGTAGTAGACCTCCTCAGGAAAAAGGCCAAGTGACGTCAGTGTCTGGAGGACGCCTTTTGTAAAGGTGAGCTGGATTTATGTGTAGCAACCTTCGCATGCTGGGGTGCACGTTACTCTCCTACACACGACGGCGCATATGAGTTCGACCATGGATTGATTACATCCAGGCCCCGATGCCAATTGGGAGCGGTAGGTTCGTTGGCGAGTCTAACTCCGAGCTCGCCTCGGGGAACCTGGTTAAGCTGTGCCTCGGCCTGCTCGTAGCACCGGCATCCACACTCATCCCGGGTCGACCTAGATGTCAACGTGGTCGCATTCTAGCGCCATGCAGTGGCGCCAACGTGCGGCCAAATGCGGTGGCCGAGCGCGCGTTTGGGATGGGCGCAGGCCAAGCCACGACGAAACCATTATCCACCTATGCACTGTGCAGACGAACTAGACATACACTGTGACGCAGCGTTCAGAATAGTGGGAAGACGCCGACGCTGGACGGGCCCTGCGACGAGCCATCTTCCTTCGCATGGGCGCAGGATCACGGGCACTCGACGGGCATTTGTTGGCGGGCAAACGTGCCATTAGACTGGCAGTGTGAGGCGATCAGATTGGTGACACGAATCAACTTCGCAAGTGAGCTGATGGCCGCGATTAATTCAGCAGATCACTCCTCGCTCTTGCCACCGCGCTCCACGTTGCGTTGAAGGGCCCCCGAGGCCCTGAAGGAGCACGTCGCCAGAGAGATGGTCGGCAGCCGCTCGCGCTTCAAAGTGTCTCTGCCTGGACTTAATGGGAGCGGTCACCGCCGTCGCGGCTACGAGACACAAGCCCCCCGCAGAACTCTCACTATTGCCGCGTGTTCTTTGGCTTCGACCCCCTGAGCTCGGGCCAACTCTGGGCCCTGAGCTGGGAAGACGCGCGAGATGTGATCCCGGATGGGCTGACAAAGGGCAGTGTCGACAGATCTGCTTTCCGCGACGCGGCTGGTGGCTCTCGCCAGCGGTCGCGCGCGCCGCGCGCCGTCGCCCTCGCCTCGGCTGGCAAGCTCACAGTGCTATCAGGCCATGATCGCCAGCCGCATCGTCATTATCAGTATGTGCATATGGACCATGTCGTGTTCCACCTCCTTCGAATTCACCCGTCTTTCATCGTGTCCACCCCTCTCGGCAGACATGTCACATCGTGCGTGGTAGTTTTGGGCGTGTTGCTGCGCGGCAGTTCAGGATGGAGAAGGTTGGCAGGAGTTTCGTCAGCGAAGTGGTCAGCAAGCGCTGGGGCATGCATCTGGGTGCGTATGTGTGCGGGCGCACGGGGCAGGTAAGTAGTCATGTTAATCAGGAATGAGATGATATGATGCCGCTGCCTTTTTCTCAGGGGCATGCTTGTGCGCCGACGGACTGGGGCGCGCTGAGCCGCCGTCGGTGGCTCGTTCGCCGTCGGGCACTCGCGCGGGGGCCCGGCGCGCATCGACGCGCGCTGTCGCCAGCCGGCCGCCGCGCGCTCGTGCGTGGCAGCATTCCGCGGATGAAGCCGCCGGGAGCTCCTCAGCCGCCGCCGCCTCGACGCTCGCGGACCGCGCCCTCTCCCTCGCTGTCGCCCGCGGAAGAAGTGCCGTCGTCGGACGACGTGGCGCTGGCGCTGTCCGCAGATCGAGCCGAACCGCGCGATCGCTCTCCGACGCCCCTCCTGGCACATGGTCAACACGTGGCATTCCAAAGGCAAAGCCGGTCATGGCCCGTCAGCCTGGCATGCCACCGATGATGCCCCCGCCAAGTCAGGGGCAAGTGCGACAGTTGCAACGACAATTTCGGCAGTTCACGGAGGTAGGGCGCGTCCAACGCGTTGTTTAACGCTATTTGTTTCTCGAGGTCACGTTCGGGCTCAAGCAGCTCCTCGGTGTCGCTCTCGCCTGCCGTCTCTTCGCAGGCGCCGAACAGTTGCCGTGTCCTACGTGTAGGTGCTGTCATTCCGCAGAGCCTCCGCGTCGACCCCGCCCTCCCGACATGCCATCCTCGGCGCTCGTGGAGGACTCGCGTCGCCCAGCATTCAGCAAGAGCGACTCCGAAGTGGTGGAGTTCGTCAGGAAGTGGCACGTCGGCGACCCGATCCCTGAGGTGATGGTGCGTGGGTGCTTCTATTCACGGCAGGTCATGGAGCCGGAGATACGCGCTGCGTTCACCGGCGAGGCTCGTGGGGCTGTGTTGTGGGTGACTGACGCGCGCCCAGTGTGCGACGACAAGCCGCTCGACCTTCCTTAGACATGTGCAGCGCCATGCAGTGCGCCGCGTGGGCATCGTGGACCACGCAGCAGATGATTGAGTGCCGCCGATGCTGGGCACGTGCCAATCTCGGCTCGTGGCCAGGGTTCGGGCAAGG